TATGGTTATAACGATTTAGATAACTTAACTCTTCCCTTTCAGCTTTCAAGGCCGTTTTTACAAACCTCAACGCCAGTGGAAGAATTGGACCAATAACGCTGGGCAGTCACTACACAGGACAGGATCATGACGGACAAGTTACGCTGTCCAGCGGTGTTCAGCAGTGGACTGTGCCGTACACTGGTGACTACAGAATAAAAGCAATAGCAGCCGCAGGAGGGTACGATGGACGCACTAACAGCGCTCAGTACCGAGGAAGAGGAGCAAGAATGATTGGAACGTTCCGCTTAAACAAGGGTCAAGTCATTCAGATACTTGTTGGTCAAGAAGGAGGAATAAACACGCACTATTACTCTTCTGGAGGTGGTGGAGGAACGTTTGTGGTGAGAGGAGCCAACACACCTTTAATAATAGCTGGGGGCGGCGGAGGAGTATGTGGAGTTAGGTCTAAATATGAAGGATGTGACGCCAGCACGAACACAACAGGGAATCCTGGATACAAATCATGGTCAGGGGGGAGCAATGGACGTGGTGCACAGACTGCCGATGATGGTGATTCAGGTAAGAGTATATTGTATTGTTTTCTTACGTCTTAGCTGTTCATTTAATGTTATTTCAGTACCATATGATAACGAGCGCTGTAATTGGCTTACAATTTATGAAAAAAAAATGGATGGTTGATAGAGATGGTTCAGACTGATGTCATTCTTGGCAAAAATTTCCTATCGAGTTTACCCGCGAGATTTCAAAACTTTCAAGATTGTTTTCCCGTTAACCTTTTGGAGCTCTATTTGAAAAGAAAATGTGCTAAAATGATAATCGTTCCGAAAAACAATCAGGATGTAGCTATTCAAAGCGATTGAATTAGTCTTGGTGTCGACGATACTCTATTTGCTAAACGCGATGCGTGAATGTGGCTGAAAACAAAACTGAGTTTTTAACTTCAACTGAGGCTTCACGACGTTGGGGTAAATATCATTTTGAAGAGCTTATGCATGTACGTCGCAAAAGTGTTGTTCAATAGATGATTTTCCTTGGAAATCGTACAATTTTTAAGATTTTCAACACAAAGCGACGCAATTTCTGATCGTCAATTCTAGTAACCAACAATTCAAGGAGGTGAATCTATCACACGGGACTCGTAAATTTAGGAAATTTCCCCTAAGTTTTTTTGGACGGGCCGATATTATTTTGTGTTGCATTAATAACTCCGAACGCTACAGTTGCTCCCGGCTGCTTTTCGATCAACTTCTCTTTTGTGCTCTCCAAACTTCCCGCGTGCACCATAACTAGAAATATGCTTTGGAGGCACATAAATCTTAATAAATCTCGAGTAAAATATAAATATCCCGAGATAAATAAAAACATCTGCGGTGAGCTGAAATATCCATATGTCAAAAATAGAACTTGCTGTGTGTTTATAAAAGATCATATCTAAAAATTAAATTACGTAGTTTTAATCTATAAATTTCAAAAGCATCAGGGTTACTTCTCACATACACAGCAATTTCGCCTTTTTCCTTCAAAACCACTCTTGACCAGTTCCTGTCCCGTCTGAATATGTTTTAGATAGGTATGTTGACAATTGATTCAGGTTTATCTGGCTCAAGGTGTGTTTCGGAGGCGACGCAAACGCATGAATATCTTTCTTATTTAAATGATCTTCGAGTGTACAGCCGCTCTAAACCGGATCTTTGTTTTAGTTGGGCTACAGATGTTCGTAAATAAAAATTTTGGAACAGCGAACTCGCATTTCGGGCTTTTCTGACTTGTTGTAGATGAGGTCAGTTGTCTGATGTTCAATATAAGGCAGCGGTCTCGCTTTACATGCTTAGCCGCGGTGTTTGGATGTTTCTGAGTGTTGACCACTGGTATGCGATAAGCTTTCGTGTTGTTAAAATTAATGCGTCTTTATCCTCCTCAGTTTCTCGAGATTTCAGAATGCCA